AGGCTTCAATCAATCAATCAATCAGGAGTAAAACTGACAGTAATGCATGGTCTTTCTTGTCGTCATATGGTACTCGTAGTTTCCAAAAAGAGGGGGACCCCAACATAGACCCCAACACATTATCTTTATCAAAGGGACCCCAAAAGGGACCCCTAAGATCCCCTAAGTTTGGGAAACCCTAATCCATATAAACCACCATATCAGCCTGTTTTACCTTTTTTACGATTGGGGTCATAACCCTAAACCCTTACCCATACATAACTTCCCAAAATAGTTGCTAATTTTGGGATAGTAGTTTCCATTTTTCCGTTGCCCCTAGATGGTCCCTATACAGTTCCCCAAACGCTAAACCCCAAAGCTTCAACCATAACCCTTACACCCATATTATACGGTAGTTGTTAGCCTTTCAGGCCCAACCTGGTTTGGATTTGGCCATGCGGAGTGGCCTGGCGGCGTTGGCGGGGGCCTCAGGGCTCCATGGAGGGTTTTGCATAATGTACCATAATTTACAGTAATGTATTATAATATACCAGAATACCCATAATGTACCATAATATATTGCCCTTGAAGGGATGCTATAGGTGTATAGCGGGATTTAGAGGTTTCAGGACAGGGGTTTATTCGGGGCGCTAAAGGTGCAAATGTTTAGGAGTCCTGTAGGTATTCCAGAGGTACCTTTAAAACGGTTCTCAGCGAAACTCGCAGGGCTACTCTACAGGATTTTAGTTGGCCTTTGGGAGTAGTATGCTACATACATTCGAGATTGAAGAATATGCTCTGTGATTATCAGAACTCTGAATGAATGCCCTCTTTTGAGGCTGCGAGAAGAAGATTCCAGAGGGTGTTTTACTGGGTCACAAGGGGGACCATCCAACAAGAAATACAGGAAACTGGGCATGTTGCTTATGAGCTTAGTCAGCTTAGCAGTCAGAAATCCCTGCTTGCAGGTACATCAGAAAGATGCCAATGCCCGCACCGGCATGCAACATCATTATTCGTCTGTCTCAAGCGTGCATCATACGCTGAAAGGCTTACACGCGCGAACTGAGTTTGAAACATGATTTGTGAATCGCGCGCAATTGCAAGGTCGCTACCTCGGTGTCCCAAGTCTCAGTGGAGATCCGCCGAGATGCTCGAAACGCGACTCAGACGCTGCGTGGCGGTCCGGACAACACCAGTCTGGGCAACACCAGTCTGGGCAACGCCACGCGACCGATGCATGTTTCTTGCCAAAACAAATGGACTGAAGCTGCGAGAATAGTAATCCTGAAGACTGCATTGTCAGTGTCAAGATTGGATAATGTGGGGGTATACCTGATGCCCACATGTAGGGATCGCAATTGCAGTGTGCAGGTTGCATTCAACATCTCTGTCTTTGGCAATGCCAGCGCAGATCCCCGACAGCGCGCACTTGCCACCAAAGTCCTCATGGAGGAGGCGGATAGCCGACAAATTGCCCGTGCCATGAACACTGCGCTGGCAGCCAGAGGCGAGACAGCCTCTCTCAAAATTCAAAATTGGTTGTGGTCATCTCGAAGTAGACGACAAAGTATTTAGATGACAAAGTATTTCACGCAAAGAATTACGGAGGCTGTAGACGTTGTGGGAGTTTCGGTTTGATTTTTTGTCGATGACATGTACACGTCACGGCAGGCGAAGGGCCTGGTCCGTTTTTGAGCGTCGTCCTACCCTTTGTGAGTCATCTTGGTGACCGCAATGCTGGACCACAGCGCCCAAAGGTTGTCTGAGCCCACGTAATCCTGTAATCGTTCGTAATCCCGCTGCAACCTCCACCTGATGACCCATCACAATTCATGAGATATGGTAGTTTCCCAAAATAGGGGGACCCCCAATATAGACCCCAATATACTATAGTCCTTATTATGGGGACCCCCAAAAAGGGTGCCCCTAATTTTGGGAAACCCCCATATGGCCATCCCTCTTTGCCCTGGAGGTCTGCAGGTGTTGGTGCAGGCTGCTGACCTGACGGTGAGCCCAGGTGGGTGCTCTACAAAATACAGGGTCCTTTTGCAAAAAAGGTCTTCCAAATTAGGGGTATCTTTGGGTTATAATAAGGGTCATAGTATTTGGGGTCTTTACCCGGTTTTAAATTACTACCATATCTGACAAGGTTGGACCCCTTAGAAGGAATAATCTTGAGACACCTGCAGGTCTGCAAAACCTGACGCTTCAAGGTCACTCTGGGCAGGACAGACCTTCCCTTTTAACAGAATAGTATAAGATGGTCCTAGTAGTTCGGTGGGTAAGCTTTGCTTCTGGGGCATATATGCATTAATAAGTATAATAGCCTTATAGACGGCCATTCCAGTTTTAAAGTTGCACTACCAAAGAATAAAAATCCATCCGATTGCCGAAGACGGCCCTTCCAGTACTAAAGTTGTACAACCGGAGAGCGAAAATCCATCCAGTTGCCGGAGACGGCCCTTCCAGTAAGAAAGTTGTACTACCAGAGAACGAAAATCCATCCGGTTGCCGGCGCCGTTCCAGTACTAAAGCTGCACTACCGGAGAACAAAAATCCATCCAGTAGCCAGAGACGGCCGTTCCAGTACCAAAGTTGCACTACTAGGGAACAAAATCCATCCGGTTGCCGGAGACAGCCGTTCCAGTACTAAAGTTGTACTACCAGGGAACGAAAATCCATCCGATTGCCGGAGATGGCCGTTCGAGTACTAAACTTGTATTAGCAAAGAGAGAAAAGCAGGCCACCAGTAAAGCTTGGAAAACGATAGGCCACTCACCAAAATCGAATGCGCAAGCCCCACACAAGCAATTTAGACGTATAGGTGTATAAGTATGAAATCCTCTTCTAGTCAGAAGGTTAAACCTTTTTTTGTGGTTTGGGCTTTGGGCCGAAGACCTCAAACCGGAAGTGTTGCAGCAGGAGTTCTATGCGCTTGTCGCCCTCCTGCGGAAGTACCAGGAGTACTTGGAAGAGGCCATGTCATCATAGCCCCAGGTATCTGGATAGGGCCCCCTTTGAGCTCTGTCTCTGTGTGTGTGTGTGTGCGTGCGTGCGTGCGTGCGTGCGTGCGTGCATGCGTGCGTGCGTGCGTGCGTGCGTGCGTGCGTGCGTGCGTGCGTGCGTGCGTGCGTGCGTGCGTGGGTGTG